TCAAAGCTCAAATCTCCTTGTCATCTTTCTGTGCTTCTGGGTAAGTTTTTTTCTAATCTACACTTTCCCTAAACGTGCTGCTTATCTATGGTCCCAACTTTATGTAGGGTTTTAATACTAACTCCCTGCCTTGGGAGCGTTCCCAACCCTCAGCTTGTCCCTTGTATGGTGGGACAAGTTTAATGAAAATTTTATGAAGTGTAATAAGTTTAATGAAAACTCAAGCCATTGGTCTCAGGGACCTGAACACCTCCTCCCCAGGCCACCCCACAGCCCAGGCAGCTGCAATATCAGCACCTCCTCTCACTACCCGGGTTTTCAGTTCCCTCTTCATTTTTGGCCTTGGGGGACTTTGGTTATTTTCCTGAGAGCTCAGCTCTATGTTCAAAAGGAAGTTTGTTTTATTTTATCTAGCATTTCTAGGCATTTTGGAAAAGGAGATCTTTCAGGTTATCTAACTATGGTGTAGTGGTTAAGAGCTTGGGTGCTAACCAAAAGGTCAGCAGTTCAAATCCACCAGCTGCTCCTTTGGAAACCCTATGGAGCAGTTCCACTCTGTCTTATAGGGTCACTGTGAGTCGGATCTGGCTCGCCGGCACTGAACAACAACAATGATCTGTTATTGAGAATTTAAAGATACTTAAAAGCTCAGACTGTAGGTTCTTGGAATCACATAATTTTAAAATCTCCAAAGGGTAGACTGACAAAATCACAGAGTTGCTTTGAAGGACAAGGATGGGGATCAGAGGCAGATACCAGGACACAGAGTCTGATCTTCTACTCGGGGGTCCAGAACCTCCATCCAGTCACCTTATCCAGAGGTGGCAGAGACTGAGGAGATGACCCAGTGCCAACGTCGTGATTTACAACAGGACCTGGAGCTACCAAGCAGCCTGGCATTCTCACATGATGGCTCAGTTACCCCTGCCCAAAAGGAGAGCCAGCCAGCGTGCTGGGGCGTGCTGCCATGACTTGGTACAGTGCCTGTCCTGTGTGTTTACCTGCGTGGGTGTTGCCCGCCCTGTGTGTGTTGTTCATCATGTGTGCAGCCTGTCATGTATGTGTGCACATGTATGTGGCCGGTTGTATGCACGTGTGTGGTGTCATGTGTTGCATTCATATGCCTTCGTGTGTGTTGCTTGTTGTGTGTTGGCTGTTATGTGTGTTTGTGTGTTGCCTGCCATGTGTGTTGGCTGTCACATGGGTTTGCTAATTACCTGTCATGTGCATAGTATTGACTGTCATGTGTGTGACCTGTCATGCATGCATGTATGCGACCTGTCGTGTGTGTTTGTATGTGAACTGCCTGCTGTGTGTGTGGCCTGTCATGTGTGTGTGTGTTTGCTGGCGTGCTGCCTGTCATCGTGTCGTTTCTCCTGTGTTTGCGTGTGGTGCCCATCACGTGCGGGTGTGTGGGTCTCGCCCACGTGCCAGGAGCAGCGAGGCGACACGTGACGTCTTCTCGCAAGAGCACACACACGGATGAGAAGAGCGTGAGCAGAAGGCCCAGTCTTCAGCGGCTACTCCACACCCTGGGCCACCGTTAAGTCCACTCACCTGCATGATGGACATCAGAAATGACTTTCAGCTGTGACCAACCGAAGGCCCATTGTCCAGGTGTCCCTCCTTGTCTTTGCCTGGTGTGCCTGAGGCTCAAACCCTCCCACACGGCACCCTGCCCCTGCTCGGTTGCTTATTATCTGAGGATCTGGTTGCCCAGCCCCAACTGGAAGTCTAGTGGGACTCCTGCCATGAGGATGTTGACACGGCTGCCTCCAGTGAGACTTCCTTTCCATGCCAGGCACTGATGGGGAACTGGAGGGAGAGCTGGGCCTTCCCCGAGCCCCGGGCATGCAGCGTGACCATGTCTGGGTGCGCATGTCACTGAGAGTCGGCACATGAGCTTCCAGCCTTCACCTGCCTACGCTGCACAGGCCACCTGGTGGGGAGGGAGGAGGAGGCCACCTGTGGCCCTCATTACAGCTACAGCCTTCACTGACCCCAAAATCTGCCAAAAATAGCTGGTAATTGACCTCTTGGGGGCCACAGGCCATAGGTTGAATCACCTTCCCTAGAATTGGGCCCAGAAAGTGCGCAGCCAGTCCACTGGGCAAAGAGAACGCAGGGAGACCAGTGAGCGGGCCTGTCCCTGGGTGCAACAAAGGGTTAACGCACTCAGCCGCTAACCGAAACATTGGAGATTCAAGTCCACCCAGAGGCACCTTGGAAGAAAGGCCTGGCAACCTACATCTGAAAAATCAGCCATTGAAAACCCTATGAAGCACAGTTCTGCTCTGACACACATGGGGTCACCATGAGTCAGAATCAACCGGACAGCACCTGGTTTGATAACAGTAATAGTTGGCTTTTGCTGAGAGCTTACTCTGCCAACCCTGTGCTAACAAAGAGGTCCCCAGATCCCTCAGTCTGCAGCGTCCTTAGTGTCTCATGAAGCTCCTTAGGCCAAAAGAAATATCCAGAAGTACTAGTCATTAAATATTTTAGGTCCAAACCTCTTAATGAGCATTTATGTCTTAACAACTTAGTAGTCATTTGCGAAAAAAAAAAATACACATCAGTTGAAAGGAAAAATGATACCTCCATTTCTTTCTTTGATAAGCACCTGTCTTGGTTATCTAGTGCTGCTATAACAGAAATACCACAGGTGGATGGCTTTAACAAACAGAAGTTTATTCTCTTGCAGTCTAGGAGGCTAGAAGTTTGAATTCAGGGCGTCGGCTCCAGGGGAAGGCTTTCTGTCTCTGTTGGCTCTGGAAGAAAGTCCTTGTCATAATCTTCCCCTGGACTAGGAGCTTCTCAGCACAGGGACTCCGGGTCCAAAGGAAGTGCTCTGCTCCTGGCTCTTGCTTCTTGGTGGTATGAGGTCCCTGTGTCTCTCTGCTCGCTTCTCTCTTTCATATCTCAAAAGAGATTGGCTCAAGACACAATCCAATCTTGTAGATTGAGTCCTGCCTCATTTACATAATGCCTCTAATCCCACCTCATTAACATCATAGAGATAGGATTTACAACACATACGAAATTCACATCACATGACATAATGGTAGACAATCACACAATGCTGGGAATCGTGGCCTAACCAAATTAATACACATATTTTTGGGGGACACAATTCAATCCACGACAGCACCATTCCTTACTGCTCGGCTGTGTATACCTATCGGGCACTGAGCAGCTTCCTAAACAGCAGGTCAGATGTGCACCACTTTCTCACTTCCTGTTCCGAGTTGATTTTCACCTTTTATCACAGTAACCCCAGGAAACCCAGCGTCTCCAAGACAGGGCATGAAAGGAAAGTAGCGTGGTCTAATGTTGAAACTGGGGACCACCTGGACCCCTTCGTTTGCTCAGGTGCACAGGTGGACAGTATCACTGTGCTTCCTCCCAAAATTTAGAAAATTTAAGCTCCCCAGCTGTGCCCGAGTCTCCTGCCGGGCCTGGGGAGCCTTGGAGCCATAGTGCTAAGGGGTCCACACGTTTTCACCTTTAAGGAGCACTGCCAGGTAGTGCCAGGTAGATACACCTCACAGAGGAGGAACCTCTGGCTCAGACAGGTCTCCAGGGCCCACAGAGGCTGCCAGAACTGAACTCAGGTGGCGGCAGCAGAGGGCCAAGAAGACAGAGGGGAGAGACGGTTTACGTGGACCTGGGGTGGGCAGGGCAAAGGGTGTGTGGGATCCAGGCAGCCAGAGAACCTACTGGGTGCAGTGGAGGCTCCGTGACCCTCCCATGGGCCCCTCACTTTCTCACCCCGATTTTCAACTCTCTTCACGGTGGGATCTCAGCCCCTCTCACCATAAGGGAGTCGGAGAAAGAGGCACCCTCAGGCCATAGGGGGTCTTCTTACTCCCATCAGACTCTGCGTCCGTTTCGGGTGGGCGTGGAGGCTGAGGTTGCAGCGGAGAAGGCAGCGACCAAGGGTACCCAAGTCCGTGCTGGGCGCGGGGTGACCCCGAGACAACTGAGAAGCGGACCCTGCCTCTGAGGCAGTCCCCGGGGAGTTGTGGGTAGAAACGCCTGATCGACGGAAAAGGGGCCCTGCAGGCTGAGGGCTGGGAATGTCCGGGAAGGCCCCCCGAGAAGGTGGCGGGCCCGGGTCTTTGGAGCCTGTCCAGTCCCCCAGACACACGAGGGACTGCCAGCTTCCTCCGTGGCGGACCAAGTGGAACTGGCCGAACGGGGCAGGCCCCGGGAGGGAGGCGGGGCCTCCAGGAACTAGGACGGCCTGGTGGGCGGGGCCTGGGGACCCCACTCCACCCCCAGGCAGGGTGGACGCGCCCTTCCGCACGCGGAGGGGTCAAGGCCTCCGACGACAGCGCCCCGGAGGCCGGGTCAGCCGGCGGCACCCCCCGGACGCTCCCCACCCTCCCCCACGGCCGGGGACTCCCAGTTGGGACAATACAAAATCTCTTTATTGCTCCTTGTCTATATATAAAAAGTCACGCCTCTTGGCCGCCAATGGGGACAGGAAGCGCAAAGTGCAGGCAGGTCATGCGAGGCCCATGGCTGCGTCCCAGAGCGGGAGCGCGGAGGATGACTGCAGGACCCCACCCTGCTTGGGGCCAAGCGAGGGCCAAGCGCGTTGCGGGCGGTGGGCACCGCGGCGAGGGGACAGCGAAGGGCCGGCAAGTCCCGCGCCCAGGCGGCCGCGGCCTGGGCCCCTTAGGCCGTGATGGGCCGCACGCACCGAGAGCGCCTTTGCGGAAGGCGCGGCTGCGGAGGGGCCTGGGCCGGGGGGAGGCATGGAGAGCGGCCTCCGGCTTTCCGTTGTGCCGTCTTTCGAACCCCAGACCCGGCCTAGTATCCCAAGGCCCCACCCGCCTTAAAGCGGAGTGGTGGGGGACGGAAGGAGGGCCCAGCGAGGCCTTCAAGTTCCGGGTGACCCCAGCTCCGGGAGGGGCGTCCCCGAACATGGGGGGAGGGAACTGAAGATGGAGCAGAAATCAGCGCGCTCCTGGGACCCCGATCTGACATCCGGTAAACGGAGGTTAGCGAGCCAGGAGGCTGACTGGGGCCAGGCCGCCCGGGTCGCTCACAGCTCCTCAGGCCCGTCGCCTCCCAGAGCCTGTTCATAGGGGCAGGGCCGGCGGCCGAGGCCGGCGGGCTCCGGGCCCGGCCGGGGCCCCGTGGGCGAGGCCTCCTCCTCCGCGCCGTCCACCTGGCCGCCGCCGCCGCTGCGTTCGCCCTCCGCGTCGCTCTCGTCGGAATTGTCCTCCTCCAGGTAACGGTAGCCGCGCACCTTGTGCTGGGGCCGCGGGATGCGGGGCTGGCGCGGGACCACCCCTCGCCGCAGCTTCTGCTCCATCCACAGGTATGAAGTCACGGCCGCCAGCAGCGTCACCAGCAGCACGGCCAGCTTGGCCTAGGCGAACGGGGAAGCACGTGGAGGACCCCGGCTGGCCAAGTCCCGCCCTTCCCGGCAGCGCCCCTCCCGGGGTGGTCCCACCTCCCACCTCCCACCGCAGAACAGCCGCTCCCCCGCCGTCCTTCCCTCCTCCGGGAGCCTCCCCCAACCCGGCCCTCCTAGACTCCAGCAGTCAGCTCCACCCATTACAGACACCATACCTCTCGGGGCCTCAGTTTCCCTACTGTAAGAGGGGAGAGTGATAATACTTTGGCCTCAGGGTAGATGTGAAGATCCCATAAGATGCTGGTAAAGCAGAGGACACAGGCCTTGCCCTCCTTATCTGGGGCTAAGATTACTCTAAAAGGTCCCTGAGTGGGGGTCTGGGCTAGAGTACTAATCAAAAGATTGGCCGTTTGAACCCACCTAGCGACGCCCTGAAAGAAAGGCCTAGTGATCTGCTTCTGTAAAGATATTTTTTTAAAAAAAATCCAAACCCGTTGCTGTGGAGTCGATTCCTACTCACAGCGACCCCGTAAGACAGAGTAGAACTGCCACACAGGGTTTCCAAAGCTGTGATCTTTACAAAAGCAGGCTGCCACATCTTTCTCCCCAGGAACCACTGGGTGGCTTTGAACCAGGGCCTTTTGGTTAGCAGTTGAGTGCTTAAACACTGCACCACCAGGGCTCCTTCCCATAGAGATTACAGCCCAGAAAACCCTATGGAGCAGTTCTGCTCTGTCACATGGAGTCACCATGAGTTGGAATGGACTGGACGACAACGGGTTAGGTTTGGTTTGGTAGATTACGCTGGTGCTTCTTAAACAGGTGTGGACTGTAGGTAATGCTTTCCAGACTTTCTGGACCGTAACGCACAGTCAGGAATAGCTTCACACCATAACTCAGCACATGCACACAAATGTGCATGCATGTTGTTGGGTGTTGTGGAGTCGATTGTGGCTCATCGTGACCCCTGGCCCCGTGTGACAGAGTAGAACTACCTCTAGGCTGTAATCTTTACGGGAGCAAATCTATAGGTCTTTCTCCTGCAGAGCCATGGGTGGGTTCGAACCACCAACCTTTCGGTTAGCAGCCAAGCACTTGACTGTTGTGCCACTGGAGCTCCTTTTTGCATGCATAACCAAAAAAACACAAAAACAAAAAACAAACCCGTTGCAGTCAAGTCGATTCAGACTCATAGCAACCCTATAAGACAGAGTAGAACTGCCCCATAGGGTTTCCAAGGAGCGGCTGGTGGATTTGAACTGCTGACGTTTTGGTTAGCAGCCATAGCTCTGAACCACTGCACCACCATCCTGTTATTTTCTATTCTAGTAAAAAGACCGGACTTAATGGTTTGACTGAGACTGGAAGGACCCCAGAAGACATGGCCCTCGGACTCTCTGTTATCCCAAAACTAAAACCATTCCCAAGGCCACCTCTTCAGACCAAGATTAGACTGGACTATGGGACATAAAATGATACTCGTGAAGAGTGTGCTTCTTAGCTCAAGTAGATAACATGGGACTAAATGGGCAGCTCCTGTCCGGAGGTGAGATGAGAAGGCAGAGAGGGTCAGCAGTTGGCTGAATGGACACGGGACGGGAAATCCAGGGTGGAAAGGAAGAGTGTGCTGTCACAGTATAGGGAAACCCACTGGGGCCATATAACAATGTATGTATAAATTTCTGTATGAGAGACTAATTTGAATTATAAACTTTGACTTAAAGTACAATTTAAAAAAAAGTGTTGATCGGGACCTGCTAAACTGGCCTCGCAGTTGCTAGCAGGTGAGGGGAGTCGGGGGTGGGGGGTTGGGGGGAGCAGATTATGACAGCCCTGCCCCCTCCCTGTGGGCTGTGATGTGATCCAGCTCAGAGCTGAATGTCTGAAAAGGTTACCAAATAACCCACAATGAAAGAGTAAACCGTGAACCCCTTCAGAGATGGGTCCACTGAGGCCAGCAGGAGGTAAGGCAGTAAGCGGAGTGCTGCGTTTGGGGGTGCCCAGTAGGTTGGGAGAATGAGTCCTTGGCCCAGAGCCTGGCCTTCCGGCAGGGGTGACCTTCATGGGGCCTTGGGGAGCCAGGGAGCAGACAGGGCGGCCTTCAGAAACTATCTGCTACCTGGTGGTGGCATGTGGGGCCTGACACCTAGTGCCTCTCCCCACCCCCGCCCCCACCCAGCCTCACCTTCATGGGTAGGCTGGAGCCTAGGTACACAGCAAAGATGGCCAAAGCCTGCCACCAGTGGTAGATGGTGAAGATGAAATCCTGCCTCTCCTTGTCCTCGTAAAGGATTCCCAGGAGCGCTGTAGGGGGAGGGGGATCAGGGCAGGCAGGAGAGAGGTGTCCAGGAACCTGAGACTGCTCGCCTTCCACCTGTGACCCTCCTAGGCCCTGCCCTGGCCCACCCAAGGCCCAGGAGATCCAAGAGCGCACTTGCTTTAAGCCAGTCCTGGCCTGCCCCCTAGTGGAGACCCTGCTTTTGCGGCTGCCCAAGGAGCTGAGCAGAGGCAGGTGAGCCAGCCCGGTGTGTAGATGCAGGGGGTGCCATTTGGCCACACTGGGGTCCCTGACCCCACGCGAGGAGTACCAGGCATGCAGGGGCTGTTTCCCCGCCTCTCCAGGTAGGTCTGCTCAGGTGGGGCAGGCTGCTGGCAGCCACAGGCTTTCTGCTAATCAAACCCGAGCTGAAGTGTGGGAGGAGGGAGCTTGTGTCTCAAAGAATCCTCCCCGGAGACACAGAAAGAGCCCTGGACAGGGAGTCGGGAGGCTCAGACTCTAGAGCTCAGGGCCGTAAGGTGGAGAGAGTTGCGAGTCTAGAGGTACAGAGATGTGGATCCCATGCTGGCTCCTCCGAGCCGGTTCTCCCATCTTCCGTGTTATGCTGTGAGGTCTTCACGTGAGACAGCCTGCAAACTGTGGGAGCGGCTGCTAACGCCCTCACCAGGCACTCGGGACGTTACCACTGCCATGCTGAGGCTCTGCAGGGTGTCTCTACTCCACACGGCTGCTGTGAAGGGACATGGAACCCCCGGGTCCACACACAACATGGGTCCAGGGTACCCAGGCTGGACCTGCCCAGAGCTGGCTGCCCCTGCGCGAAACGGCCGAGTGTGGTCCAGTGTGTGTGGCTCCATCTCCCACTAAGGTGGGAGCACCTGACTCTTGAATGGTGGGTCAGGGGTCACCCTGCCCTGCTGCAGCAGGCATGACCTCCTCCACCTGGTGAAGCCCAGACGCAGACACTGATGTGGGCAGCCCAGGCTGTCTGTACCGGCTGTCTGTCACTGCACATGCCCGCCTGCGGGTGGAGAGCATCACACTGGTGAACTCTGACCCACGCCCTGCCTTCTGCAAACAGGACCATGTTCCTAGTGCCCCTGCCCCAGCAGCCCAGACTTGGGGCCTGGACTCTGCCCCTCCACAGACTGGCATTGGGACCTCACATCGGCTCCCGGCTCCTTGCCATAACAAGGCCCATATCTGCAGGCACCCCCTGGCATGTGGACAGGGCCTCCTGGTGCTCTCTGGGGCAGAGACCCCTGGGTGGGCCCTGTTCTTCGGTATGAAAGGGGGTATCCCCAGTGCGTTTTTTTCACACTGTACCCACGGGGTGCATACAGAGCCTCACACCCACCTCATGTATCCACAAGACCTCCCACTGACCCCCAGTGTTCACAGGGCCATCTGCCCACACTAGGGTGTCCACAGGATGTCCATGGGGCTCCCATGCCTACCTCCAGGATGTCCACAGGCCCCCTCATCTGTCCCTATATTATCCATGGGACATCCTTCCACCCCTGGTGCATCCACAGGAACCCTCACCTACCTCCACCGTGTCCACAGGGCTCCACAGCAGACCCCCGGTGTGTCCATGGGATCCCATGTTGCCCGGGATGTCCATGTCCCCTAACCACCTCGAGTCAGCCCTGGGCCCCCTGCCCACCCACCCCAGTACCCATGTTATACTCACTGCTGAGCCCGATCTTGTTGAGGGTGCTGCCCACACCCCAGAGGGCAGCTGCCACATAGAGGATCCAGCTGTGCTGCAGGACCCGAGGCACAGGGGCCCAGAAGAAGAGGCAGAAGGTGAGCAGCAGGTGGAGCACGGCCCCGGCCACCAGGGGCACCGAGCGTGGCAGCCACAGCCCCAGCAGGCCCAGGATTGAGGCGGTCGAGGCGCCCAAGCTGTAAGCCACGAGGAGGTACGCCAGGCGTTCCAGCCCCACGGAGCACACGCCATAGCCCTGGGGGACAGGGGCAGGTGTGAGCGTTGGTGGTCAGCTAGCCCAGCTCTGGCCCTCCCCACACGAGGTGTGACTTTAGACTGCATCCCGCTCTCTCTGCACCTTCCTGATGCTAACCCCCTTCCTTCCTCCGAGGCTTCTGGGAAGGTTCTGGGGGGACAGCCAATGTGAAAATGCAAGGGCTGTACCCCACATGGACCCAAAGACTTTATGGGCGTTACCCCATTTCAACCTCATAAGCACCCTGGAGCAGGCATTCCTTCTTATTAGCTCATTTCACAGATGAGAAAACTGAGGCTCAGAGAGGTTAAAATAACTTGTCCAAGGTAGAGGAGGAGAAGAGAGAGAGAGAGAAGAGGAAGGGGACGAGCTGGACATACTTGTATTATATTTAAAAGGCATTCATTGTTTCTCAGGGTGAACCTATTGTATCTGGCAGCCCATGCAGGCTGTCCTTACCAGGGCGAGACCAGTGCAGGCGAAGAGCACCTCAAAGCCGCTGTAGATGAAGAAGGGCACCAGGTGGCGCAGGCGGAAGTCGCGCACGTGCTTGAAGGGGAGCTGGAAGATGTTGCCCCAGCCCACGCTGCGCAAGTCGATCTCCTCCGTGGGCCGGTAGGCAGCACCGCACAGGCCGAGCACCTGCAGATCCACGCTGTGAGAAGCACATACGGACCCCCGGCCCCGCCCCCGGCCTCAGCCCCGCCTCTTAGCCCAAGGCCCCGCCCCCTGAGACACACCCATGGACCTCAGCCTTGCCTCCAAGCCCCAGCCCTGGCCCTCAGCCCCGCCTCTCAGCCCAATGTCCCGCCTCCTCAGAACACACCCATGGAACTCGGCCTTTTGTTTCCCCCCTTGCCCCTGGGTCTTAGCCTCGCCTCTCAGCCCAAGGCCCCGCCCCTGAGACACACACGCGTTGAACTCGGCCTTGCCTCCCAGCCCCGCCCCTGGGCCTTAGCCCCGCCTCTCATACCAAGGCCCCGCCCCCTTAGGAACACATCCTTGGTACTCGGCCTTTCAGCCCCACCCCCAGGTCTTAACCCCGCCTCTCAGTCCAAGGTCCCGCCCCCTCAGACACACACCCACGATGGACCTCAGCCTTGCCTCCCAGCCCCGCCCCGAGGCCTCAGCCACGCCCTCAGTACCTTAGTTCTGCCTCCCAGGGTCCCCCCAGTGTTGGAGCCGTAACTTCCAGCCCTCGACGCTAGGCCCCCTGACTCCTTCACACCTTCACAGGCCTCCGCCAATCTTTTCGGACACTGTCTCCAGCTCGATCCCTGACAGACCTGTTGCCCCTTTCCCCGGCCGCTGGGATTCTACCTGTCTCAGTCCACGGACACCAGCCACGCTTCAGAGCCTCAACCTGGCTTCCAGCCTCCGGCCCCGTCCCCAGAACTCCGCCCTGGTCTCTCCGACTCAGGTCCTGCCCCCGGGCGGCGACGCTACTGTAGCCTCGCCCCCAAGCTGCTGGCCACGCCCCGGACACACCCCTATCCCCGACTCCGCCCCCAGCCGGGGCCTCACCAGCAGCATGGCCAGGAAGGCCACCGCCATGAGCACGCTCTCCACCACGATGAGGTTTCGGCTCCGCGGTAGCGTGCGCAGAACCGTCTTGTTGAAGCCGCTGAGGATGCCGTGGCTGTTAGTGCCTGGGGAAGGGCGGAGGGAGGGGCATTGTGAGGCAGGGAGCAGGGCACACTGTCACCGCAGTTACAAAGAAGTACAGCGAGGCAGGCAGAGGCAGGGTTCGCTGGGGAAGCAGTTTGGAGGTTCGGGCTGCTGGGACTGGAGATGCCCAAGAAGGGGCGACTGCTGTATCCGGCCCTCTGCACCACCCCCTTCTCACCCTACTGCCCAGAGGTTCTGGGTACCAAGCCCACCTCTGACCTCCATACATTCATCTTGTGCGGAATGAGCACTGACTATACGCCTGGCCCTGAGAGAGATCTCACAGGCAGCCTCAGCACAGATGGCACCGCCTCCAGGCAGCCTTCCCTGACCACCTAGGTTGGGTCCGATGTCCCAACTACGTACTCCCACAGGGCTCTGTGCCTCGCTCATTAGACCCGTGGGACACTGTGAGCTAGGGCATCCTCTCTGTGCCCTCCAGGGCCCAAAGTCCAGCCAGTGTCTGCTGACGATTGAATGAGAGGAGGCAAGCAGGTCTTGGGGACCCCCCACCCCACAAAGGCTAACCGCAGCTCTTCACGTTGAACAGTGTGTGGTTCAGGTCATACAGGTAGTGGTTCAGGAAGTAGACCATGGGCAGCTGGGCGCAGGCAAAACTCAGCTATGGGCAAGAGGACAGCTGGGGTCAGACCAGAGCACAGAGTCAGGCAGGGGACACAAATATGGACTGGGGAGGGGCCTGGGCACAGCCTGGGAGGGGACAGAGACCCTTCCACCTCTGAGGGGCAGCCCAGTGGTGGTGGTGGGGTACCCAGTGCAGGAGAACTTCCCCCTGTTCAGCATTGTGTCCAGGTGGGTGATGAGGTCTCAGGCACCAGAGGTAAGCAAGCAGGGGTTGGCTCAAGAAAGGAAGGTGGGACCAGAGGGCTGAGAAGACTGTGGAAAGGGCTCCAATATGTGGGTTCTGGGCCTGGCATTCCACCCTCCCCGAAAGGCCCTGTGGGGCACTCACATGGAAGAAGCCATAGAAGATGACCTGGAACACCAGGAGATAGGGTGCGTGGGAGCCCCGTGGCGGGCGCCGCTGAGGGCCCTGCTCCTCCTGCTCCTTATAATGCGAGTACTCGTAGTACTTCTGGGCCATCCTGAGCCACAAAGCAGAGAAGGCTCTCCCCAGTCCCACCTCTGCTGGGGCCCCTCCACTTCCTGCACCCAGAGCTACCACCCTGTACCTCATACATGGGGAAACTGCACGCCAGAGGGTGAGGGGGCTGGCCCAAGCCCCCCAGGCAAGGTTGGCAATGCAGCAGAGGCTTGACAAGGTCTTCAGCCTCCCGCCTCCCTGCTCACCTGGTGATGTAGTTGCCCATGGAGGCCCAAAGGGGCACAATGGCCATGCCCAGGGTGACGGCCGAGGGCACGAGTGTATAGTAGCGCTCCCAGTAGTTGGTGGAGACAAAGAGGGCGTAGATGCCCACGGCCAGGAACATCATCCACTTGGTGCCAAAAAACCTGCCGGCAGCAGGAAAGATGCTGGCACCCCAGGCCACCTGGACTGCCCTGGCCTGAGACCAGCCATGGCCACTTCAGGCCCCTCTTCACCAGGCCATGGAGCCTGGCCTCGGAGTCAAGGGCCTGTAAGATGGAGTCTCAGCAGATACAGGCTTGCTGTGTGGCCAAAATAGGAGCCCTGGTGGTACAGTGGTTAAAGCACTCAGCTGCTAACCGAAAGGTCAAACCCACCAGCCACTCCGCGGGGGAAAGATATGGCAGTCTGCTTGTAGAAAGATTACAGCCTTGGAAACTCTATGGGGAAGTTCTACTTTGTCCTCTAGGGTCGCTATGAGTCAGAATTGACTCGACAGCAATGGGTTTTGTTTGTTTGTTTGTTTTAGTGTGGCCTCAGGAGAGCCACTTTGTGTCCACACACCTATAGACCCAGGGGCCTCCGATGGCCATTTCAAGGATGGAAGGAGGTAAGAGGGGTGGGTGTCACAAATCAGTGGTCTGTGGGCAAACACAGCCTCGTTCATGTTCTGGGCTCTCTGACTCTCTCACCTCCCCTTTTCCACTCAAGTTCATGTGCTGTGACTGAGGGTCCAGGGACATGTCTCTAAGGGACCCACTACTGGTGAGCAGCAGGCGCCCCTGCCTCCCTGTCCAGTGCTTCTGCAGTCTGTTGAAGTCAGCCAGGGACTTTCCTCCTCACTAGCTCCTAGGGCAACAGCCTTGCTGGCTTGGGTCCAAACAAGGGTGATGAGTGAGTGGGATATGGGCCCAATCAGCATATTGAAGCTCGTCAGGCTAAAAAGGATTCCTGAGCTCTTCAGGTGTGACTGGAGCATGTGTGCTCATTACTGCCTTTCTTTGCCTTGGCTTCCAGGAAGCTCAAAGCTTCTGGTTTTCTGTTACAACTATCTCTTCTTCTATTACAGAACCCTGGTTCTTTTATTTTCTGTATTTTTCCATATAATAAATAGAGCAGGTATTACTACTCATTGCTGGTGAGGATGTGGTTTTAAAAATGACACACACAGCTAGGGCTCATGCAAATTGGCATAACCCTTTGGAAAATTGGTCTGGTCATTTTGGCAGGGGTTGAGCAAGTGGGTTTTGAAGTCACTCTGCCTGGGTTCAAATCTTCAGTCTGCTAGTTACTACCTGCGGGTCTTGAGTCATTTCTTTAACCTCTTGGTTTCTTCCTCTATAAGATTATAGTATCTACCTCAGATTGTTGGGAATAATACTTATAAACTGCCCAGCAGGTAAGAAACAAAACAAGGTTTGGCTGTCATCATTAGGTTCCCTGGGTGGCACAAGCCATTTGCTTTTGGCTACTATCCTAAGGGTTGGTGTCTGAACCCACCCAGCAGCACCACTGAAGAAAGGCCTGGTAATCTGTTTCCATAAAGATTCAGCCAAGAAATTAAAAAAAAAAAAAAGATTATAGCCAAGAAAACCCTATGGAGCAGTTCTACCCTATAACACATGGGGTCGCCATGAGTCAAAATCAACTCAGTGACAGTGGGCTTGGTTTTGGTATCATCATGAATGGTGACCGGTTTCAAGGGCCATAAAGTCTTTATATACCTCTGGCCTAGTAAGTCCACCGCTGGGAATTTACCTGAGGAAAATAATTAAAACATTTCTTTTAAAAAAAGGAAAAAGCTATATGCATAAGGTGGACACAATAAAAGGAGAGGGGGTTCCATGTGCAACCCTGAGCCACAGTTAAGTGCCTCCATCTCTGCAGAAGACGCGGCCATCACAAAAGACATAGTTATGAAGACCGTAGAATAGATTATGTTAAGTGAAAAGAAGAAAGCAAAGTGGCTGCTGTGCACACACACGCGCACACACACACTCTGTGGTGGCAAGGACGTGAACTCTATTCATGCGTGCAGGTGGGAAGACAGAACTAGCGCAGTCACTGGGCGGTTTGGGAGGGGATTTCTTGTTTCTGATTTCAGTTATGATGTTTCTAACGCTGTCTGTGCAATGGTGATAAAGGAGATTTCTTTTTTTTTAAGGTGGAGAGAACTAAGGCCCATCCAATTTGCCCACTGGTTGCTGGGTCCCATCCAAGCAAGGACCAACTGCCTGGCAGGGAGGGTGCATGGCGGGGGTTTTGCATTGGCTGGGACACTGGAACAGATGCCTCTGTGGCTGGAGTCTAGAGTAGACTCTTGGGACACCTGGCAGCCCATGCCCCTTCCTGTGAGAATCGCCCCTTCCTAATCAGGTTCTCTTCAGGGGCTCCACAGCCCTGACCCTACAAGGTCTTGGTGGTCTTGAAGGTGGCTATGCGAGGGATGCCACGTCGGGCACGGGCAAGCTAAGGGAAGAGGCCTAAGTGAAGTTCTGTTCCTAGAAACCAAATGGAGGTCCCAGGGCGGGGAGGGGGCACATGGTTTGTGTTCGACTGCTAACCTAAAGGTTGGCCCTTCGAACCACCCCAGCAGCACCACGGAAGAAGGCCCTGGCCATCTGCTTCTGTAAAGACTACAGCCAAGAAAACTCTATGGAGCAGTTCTACTCTGTAACGCGTGGGGTTGCCATGAGTCAGAATCGACTCCACAGCAATGGTTTTGGGTTTTTGAAATCAAATGCGCCCTGGGGCAAAGCTCTTGTTTCCTTCCCCAAACCCTAGCCCCACTCCCTTCATGCTCACCCTTCCAGGTAGGTAAGCCCCTCTCCAGCTCCCCTCCCCCAGAAGCACTGGGGCTGGAGACCCCTGGTGCACAAGCAGTGGCTCCCCTCCGGCGTGGGTTATGGCCCAGGCCCGAGGGCCCACCTGATGAGCACAGGCGTGTAGAGCAGGGCTGCGATGGGCGTCACGTTGATGCCTATGAGCATCTTGCTGTCAATGTCGGGCAGCCCCATGTTGCCATACTTGACCTCACGGTAGGTCTCGTCATAGTGCAGGATCAGCTGCATCTGTAGGAGGCCTGCGGGCAGGGAGTGGGCGTGAAGGGAGCTGCCTGGCTCTGGGGACAACCAAGGAGGCCAGAATGCAAACCTCACGCCAAAGGGATGCTTGCCCGTGAGGAGAGAGGGGGAAGGCCAGGCTGGGCCAAGTGCCAGCAGTGTAGGGCACTTGAACTCAGGACCGCTGTCCCCCATTGCTCCACCGGCCTCTGAACCCCAGCGCCCCAATTATGAAGGCAGCAGGCCTGCGCAGGGCACCTAGACCCTCACCCGCCCCCAGAAAGACTCTGGCTGGGACCTGGGAAGCGCTGCCCTGTGTCACCTTCCGCCTCAATGTGGGGTGTCCGCCGCTGCAGCTGCAAGGGCCACAGAGTGAGAAGTGAAAGAGGAAGGCAGGACTGTGGGCCCCAAGGTTTCTCTTTCCCAGACTGGGCTCTGGGCATGTGTGGACGCCTGCGTTCCCGCGCCAGCCCCGCCCGCGGGTCGTCCCGGGCCCGGCCCAGCAGCGCGTCCCGGTGTCGAGGCCCGCGCCCGCGCCCGCGGGGACCCTCCCGCCGGGGCCGCGTACCCAGGTAGACGCCGTAGGTGAGCGAGCCGCCGGTGCTGGCCGCCAGCACGTTCTTGAGCACACCCAGGCGCTTGCGGCGGTAGTAGCGGCGCTCCTCCTCCTCCTCATTGTAGTTGGGGTACGCGCCCACTAGATCGTCCAGCTGCGGGGCAGGGCACTCGCACCAGGATCCCCCGGCCCGGGGTCCCAGACTCGCCGCGGACCCTCGCCTCCCCCTGGGGATTCCTGGCCCTCCGCGTTCCCATCCCCAGAATCCCGCCCCCGGGACTCCTCAGCATGACCCGGGGCGCCCACACCCCCGTTCCCGGTACCCCGCAGCCCGGGACGCCCACCACCACCACCACCATCTCTACCCTCAAGGACCCGGGACTCCGCACCCTGATCCGGGGCGCCTTCACCCCAGTGGGGAGACCCGGCCCTCCGCGTCCCCGTCCCCACTCACCGGGGCCTCCGGCCCGCCGGGGACCCCGAGTGGGTCCTCGACGCCATGCGGACCGGCGTCCCCCGCCACCGGGTAGAGAGGCGGCTCCGCCTCCATGGCCCGACCCGACGGCCCGACTGGCAGCAGCGACCGGCTGTCCCCGCGGCGGCAGGCACTTCCTTCCCGGGCCTGCCCCGCTCCGCCCCGTCGGCCTGCGGGCCGCCCCTCGGCGGCTGTGGGCGGGCCGGCCTGGGAGTGAGAAGGTCTGTGAGAGTGTGTGTCCTTGTGCGGCCAGGCCTCGGCCTCCGGGATGAGAGACGCGAGTTCGGATTCCCACTCAGCCACCTCCCGGCTGCGTAACTTTAGGAACTAATTCCACTTCTCTGGGCCTCAGTTTCCGGGGCTATAAAATGGGGATACTCCGAGCACCATTTCCCAGGGCTGTTGCCGGATTAACTGAGTTAATGCAAAGCCTAAGAAAAGTGCCAAGCCCATAATAAGCTGTATAAGTCACCCCAGGCCTGTCACCCCAGCCCCACCTCCAGGCCAGACTCAGTGAGTTTGTAGATCTACAAAGAGCACCCTCCCCCCAGCTCCACACAGCAGCCAGCAGGCGGGCTGAGAGGCCTGAGTACCGGCTGGCTTCCACCTCCCACAAGCCCTCTTGCCTTCAGTTTTGACAACAGCAAATGGGCAGGGCCACAGGCAATCTGAGAGCGTGGTGGTCGTGGGACTACAGGAGGACCCCATCACCGCCTTCTGCTGGTGCTAAGCGTCCAGCACTGACTCCACCAGACACTGGGTCCAGGTGACATTGGAGTCCATGGAGTTCCAGTCTCACCTCCCTGCCGGAGGTGACAGGTTCACTACCCTGGTTAAAGCCACCTGGAAGCTTTCGCGTACCCCTCACCCCCTGCCACCCTTCAGCTCTCAGAATAAGATGTCCTGATGGCAAATGTACCCCCCTCATTTCCCTTCTGGTTTCCTGTGGTTTAATTGTCCCTCTAGGCATTGTACCCATGTCCCCCTCATGTGGAAGACAAAACCAAATCCATTGCTGTAGAGTCAATGCTGACTCATCTCTAGCCTATAGGACAGAGTAGAACCGCCCCATAGGGTTTCCAAGGAGCAGCTGGTGGACTCGAACTGTCGACATTTTGGTTAGCAGCCAAGCTCCTTAAGCACTGCACCACAAGGGCTCCACGTGTTGGCACTTAGCAGGTGCTTAATAAATGGGCCTTGACAGAGGGATGAGGGGTTCTAAAGTTTAGGGTCCCCAAATTAGTTAGAAACCTTGTTACACACGAAGGCTTCTGTAATCTGTAACTTGCTATTTTAAAGTGCTGTATTAAATCAGATTTGTTTCACTTCTTTTTTTTTTTAATATTTTATTGTACTTCAAGTGAAGGCTTACAGAACAAATAGTTTCTCATGAAACAGTAGTACACATGTTGTTTTATGACATTGGTTAACAACCCCACAACATGTCAACCCTCTAACTTCTCAACCTTTTTTCTTTTTGGTGAAAATACACATAGCCAAAGATACACCGTTTCAAAAATTTCTACATGCCCAGTTCAGTGACATTGACTACGCTCTTCCAATCGTGCCGTTATTCTCACTTAAGATGAAGGCTTACAGAACAAAACAGTTTGTCATTTAACACTTACTACACGTTGCCCTATGAGAATGGTTAACAATCTCACAACACATCAACAATATCCTTACTCAACCTTGGGTTCCCTATCACCAGCTTCCTTGTCCCCTTCTGCCTTCTGGCCCTTGTCACTGGACTCCTGTACCTCGTTAGTCTCATTTGGTTTTCCGGGGCTGTCCACTCGCAGGCTGAACAGTGAACCTCGGAGATAACTTCACCACTGAGCTGGAAGGGTATCTGGGGGCCATTTCACTTTTAAAACATCACGCAAAGAGTACCAACACGAAGGTTCCAAACCCAGTAATGAGTCATTTCCGCCTCATGAGTGCTCCCCGGGAGCCCTGGTGGCACAATGGCTAAGCACTTGGCTGCTAATTGAAAGGCCCATGGTTCAAACCCACCCAGCTCTTCCCTGGGAGAAAAGATCAGGCGATCTACTCCCCTAAGGATTACAGCCATCCCCAATGGCTTCTCAGCTCTTAGTCACTTGTGTAGCCAATTCCCTGTACTAAATGCTCTCTGCTCGAAAGACCTAGAGTGGTTTCTGGTTTCGGACTAAACCCTGGCTGATGTCGTGCTTGTTATTAGCTGCTGTGAACTCATGGGGACCCCATGCACAACAGAATGAAATGCTGCCTGGTCCTGCACCATCCCCATGATCAGTTGCAGATCAGACCATTGTGATCCATAGGGTTTCCATTGGCTGATTTTTGGAAGGAGATCACCAGGCCTTTTTCCCCAGTCCATCTTAGTCTGGAAGCTCCACTGAAACCTATTCAGCATCACAGCTATGTGCAAGCCTCCACCGACAGATGAGTGGTGGCTACGTATGAGGTGCATTGACCAGGAATCGAACCTGGATCTCCTGAATGGAAGGAGAGAATTCTACCACTGGACCACCAATGTCCTGTAAACCCTGGCTGATACACCTCCTCATTTCCAGAAAGGATTTTTGCGATGGCTTATGAAGATGCTATGGGGAGTCTTCGGGCTGCCTGTGGGGTAAGCCACCAGGTGAACACAGGTAAACTCACACCTTGGGAGCTGCAGGGCCGAGAACGCATCCCAGCCAGCACACCTGCGCTCCCCTCCCCGGGCACCCCCAGCAGTGAGCAGCTGGAGTCTCCACTCTCTGTTCTCAAATTATTTTCTCTCTAATAAGGTTTTTTAAAATATATATATATTATTATTATTTTTACTCTCATTATAAAAATTACGATGTTCCTAACAGAAAGTGTCGAAAACAAACAGGAGAGAATAAATATTGCTCCCAGTTCAAATACCCTGAAGCAGCTCCTAGAACGTCTGGAAGATCTGCTCTGCCTGTAGTGTATCCAAAAAAGTAGCCAGCTTTGACACTGCTCACGCACAGAGTCGTTCTTATCACAACACTTCCCCTTGTCACTGAGCCATCTTCTGCAACACTTTTGAAATTAAAAGCAATGGGGAATCCACTTATGAGCAGCTGATATTTGACAAAGGCCCAAAGCCCATTAATTGGGGTAAAGACAGTCTCTTCAACAAACGGTGCTGGCAGAACTGGATATCCATCTGCAAAAAAATGAAACAAGGCCCATACCTCACACTATGCACAAAAACTAACTCAAAATGGATCAAAGAACTTAATATAAAATCGAAAACGACAAAGATCACGGAAGGAAAAAATAGGGACAATGCTAGGAGCCCTAATACATGGCAGAAACAGAACATGAACCATATGTAACAAGGCACAAATACCAGAAGAGAAACTAGATAACTGGGAGCTCCTAAAAAATCAAACACTTATGGTCATCAAAAGACTTCACCAAGGCCGACTCTTCAGAGATTAGACTGGACTGTGGGACATAAAATGATACTCGTGAAGAGTGTGCTTCTTAGCTCCAGTAGCTACACGAGACTAAATGAGCAGCTCCTGTCCGGAGGTGAGATGAGAAGGCAGAGAGGGTCAGGAGCTGGTTGAATGGACACGGGAAATCAGGGGTAGAAAGGAGGAGTGTGCTGTCATGGTACAGGGAGAGTAATTAGGCTCACATAACAATGTATATGTAAATTTTTGTATGAGAAACTACCTTGAACTGTAAACTTTCACTGAAAGTACAATAAAAAAAAATAGAAAAGAACTTCACCAAAAGAGTAAAAAGACAACCTACAGACTGGGAAAAAAATTTTGGCTACGACAAATCCAATCAGCAGATTAAATCTACAGGATACTGCAAAACCTCAACAACAAAAAGACCAATAACCCAACTAAAAAATGGGCAAAGGATATGAACAGGAACTTCGCCAAAAAAGACATTCAGGAGGCTAACAGACGCATGAAAAAATGCTCACGATCATTAGCCATTAGAGAAATGCAAATCAAAACTACAATGAGATACCATCTCACTCCAACAAGGCTAGCATTAATCCAAAAAACATAAAATAATAAATGTTGGAGAGGTTGTGGAGAGACTGGAACACTTATACACTGCTGGTGGGAATGTAAAATGGTACAACCGCTTTGGAAATCGACTTGGCGCTTCCTTAAAAAGCTAGAAATAGAAGTACCATACGATCCAGCAATCCTGCTTCTTGGAATACATCCTAGAGAAATAAGAGCCATCACACGAATAGATATATGCACACCCATATTCATTGTAGCACTGTTCACAATAGCAAAAAGATGGAAACAACCTAGGTGCCCATCAATGGAAGAATGGATAAACAAATTATGTTATATTCACACAATGAAATACTGCCATCTATAAAGAACAACGATGAATCCGTAAAACATCTTGTAACATGGAGGAATCTGGAAGGCATTATGCTGAGTGAATTTGGTCATTTGCAAAAGGACAAATATTGTATAAGGCCACTATTCTAAGAACTCAAGAAAAGGTTTAAACACAGAAGAAAACATTCTTTGATGGTTACGAGGGTAGGGAGGGAGGGAGAGGTTATTCGCTAACTAGGTAGTAGACAAGAATTATCTTAGGTGAAGGGAAGGACAGCACACACTACAGGGGAAGTCAGAACAACTGAACTAAACCAAAGCTAAGAAGTTTCCTAAATACAACCAAACACCTCAAGGGACAGAGTAACAGTGGTGAGGGTCTAGGGACCATGCTTTCAGGGGCCATCTAGGTCAAATGTCATAACAAAGTTTATTAAGAAAGTGTTCTGCATCCTACTTTGGTGAGTGGCGCCTGGTGTCTTAAAAGCTAGCGAGTGGCCATCTAAGATGCATCAATTGATCTCAACCCACCGGCAGCAAAGGAGAATGAAGAACACCAAAGTCACAAGGAAAGTATTAGCCCAAGAGACAGAAAGGGCCACATAAACCAGAGACTTCATCAGCCTGAGACCAGAAGAACTAGATGGTGCCCAGCTACCACCAATGACAGCCCTGACAGGGAACACAACAGAGAGTTTCTGATAGAGCAGGAGAAAAGTGGGGTGCAGAACTCAAATTCTAGTAAAAAGACCAGACTTAATGGTCTGACTGAGACTGGAGGAACCCCAGAAAGTATGGCCCCT